CTATAACAGACTTACCACGCAGCCGAACAATTCGAAGCCGGCGCGCGCGGCTTTTGAAAAGCTTTGTTCCCTGCTTTTCATTCGGCGGCCCTTCGCTCGATACGCCGCGTGTCATCGCGCGGACTTCCCGATCGTTCGAAGAAAGTGAACGGATAACGACGGGGACTCATTATGCGTCGATCGCGACAGCCTGCCGCGGGAATACATCGCCGAATCAGAATTCCCGCGTGCCGACGAGCTTCAAACGGTCTCATTGTTCTATTTACCGACTGATTAATCGGACGAGATGGAACGGGCGAGTTTGATTACGCTGACTAACTCTTCGGGGATTATTTGCGATAAATTTCGTACGGGGATCAATTACTTGGCCATTTATGTTTCGCACGAGAAGTGGTTTCGTATTGGACAGTGTGAGTTTTAGTGGTAATTGTTGGTGGAACTTGTTCAGAAGCGTAATTAGGAATTTTAGGAGTTTGAAAAATTTGTTTGGATTTTCCAGATTTTTTTAGCTTTTTTAGCTTTTTGAGGTTTTCTAGGTTGCCTAGCTTTTCTAGCTTTCCTAGCACTTTTATTTTCTAGCTTTTCTAGCGTTCCTAGCACTTTATCTTTTCTAGCTTTTCCAGCTTTTCTAGGATCCCACATTTCCTACTTATCCACCTCCTCTTTCATGCAGAAATTGAATGCCGCGTCAACAAGGAAAGTTGCTAGAAACGACGATTTGTACCATCCTCGCCCAAAAATCAAATTCTCAATTCAATAATTAAAACTTCACAAAGTACCACGCTTCCCAACTATCTGTCAAAAACACCAAAGCATCCCTACCATTTACATACGAAAGGAGTATTTTATATATATCAAAGTGAACCTGGCATCAACGTTAAGTTGTTGTTAAATGTCCTTCTATTCAAAGATTGCACGCAGCTCGCCAATTCCACGGGTCATAGATCAGAGCCCGAGCACCGACGTTCAGTCCCCTGGTCATTGTTCAACGATCAGCCGCGGTACCCACTAATTTTTACGAAAGTTAAACTCCACCCGCGCGGGAAATACGGCGGCTGGGACGCTAAGGTACGAGCACGCGGCCCGACTGAAATATCACGGTGATGCAGTGGCGTGTTCGCGATATATTCTTCGTCGGGACACTAAATTTCCCCGCGGCGCGTCCGCGATAACGGTAGAAAAAGGCCGTAGCAAGTGTTTGATAACGCTTAATTTGCGTATCGGACGTGGAGGAGTTGCCCGGCCGCGCCGCGAATTAAACAGTGTACTCGTCTACGAGATAGAACATCGCGGATAAACCGTCGCTGTTGCGGATAACGTCGTTGCGATCCGTTTCACGGTATCACATTCGATTAACCGGCCATTAAAGATAAACAGGTAATACATAGGTAGTCGTTTCATTTAATGTTTTCAGGGATAGCTTGAAAAACTCGGTGAGAAATATTTTCGGCTACCTCATAGAGGATTCTATTCGAGCGAGCAACTTTTCGAAATTTCATTATATTTACTTCACTATGTTTATTAATTTCATTCGGATTAACTTCTCTTCTAAAGTGATTCTTAAAAACGATTGCCTTTGATCGCTTAGATTGTCCCTGAAACAACGCGACAACTAATATACCGAGAAACTTCGGAAACACGATTAGTAAACAATATTATTAAACCCCATGAAATTCCCTAAATCTGGCCAAATTGCCCATTTTCCGAATCCCCGCGATACAAATTGCTTAACCAAGATCCTCGTCGTCGTACATATCGTATCACCGGGTTAACAGGTTAAACACTCTGAATCCCTGAATAGCGGTCACAGGCAGCTCGCAGATTAATGGACTTCAAAGATGGCTCATTAGCCATCCACGAAAGTGATCCGCCGCTTCGGCGCCGCCGTTCCGGCATCGTTGAACATCAGCGAAACAGGGGACGAGCCTTGGATCTCTCTTCGCTAATTATGTTGATCTCGGAAGAAAGAGTTCCGAAGCGGAAGAGAACCAAGGCGGAGGGGTGGGGCGGTGAAAACATCGAAGGGGATGGAAGGTCGAATATGTGCTGAGTGGCGAAGTCTCGCTGAAGGTAAAAGGATGAACGAGATATGCTTACGAAGCTTAAAGCCTTCGGCGGAACGGAGACGCCGCTATGTCTCTGCCGTGGATAGGATCGGATATAGCGACGGTAGAAAAGGGTTGCCGGGCGAAAAAGGGATGGAAAAAGAGGGAGGGAAGGAGGGAGGAACGATAAGGAAATGGAGGACCGAGAGAGACAGGTCTCTTCGCACTCCTTTATGGAAATTAAGGATGTGATTTCGGTTCCCGCGAGAACAAGCTCCATCCGATCCGTTCCACTTCGACCGTGCCTTTGAGGCCTGTTCCCGCCATTTTTTATAGGGCACTCCGCTCGCCGCCGTCGATCTGGTAAATTGTAAATTGATACTCGTGGCCCCGACCAGCGCGATGGAGATTCGGTGCACGTTCGGAGGATGCTTTCAATACTGGATTGCGTTGCGATGCTCGATCGTGTTTGAGATTGTTTCGCGAGTGTAGTGGTCAGAATTTTTGGGAAGGTTCTGTGGTTTTGTGGAGTTCGATTCGTTAGTGGTTCGTTATGATGTGTGTTGGTCCTTCGAATTGGGGAGAGAATTTTAATGGTGCTTGTACTGGGAAATTGGGAATATTAGTGACTTTGAAGGTGGAGATTGATTAATGATACGGTAGTGTTATCGGATTTAGTAATTTAGATCTTTCGGTTTTAAAAGAGGAAAGATAAATGTAGCCACTAAAGCTGAGAAAAACTATCTAGAAAACTAGTATTAATATTTCTAACGTTTAAAAACATTAAAATATTAAAAAATCAATGCTCCGATTCCTCCAATTCTACATCGCCTCTTCCTTATAGTGACAAACCTCATATCACAACCCCTCCAGCCGACAACCCCTTCTATACCGATTCCTCAAACACGCGCAGCGAGACATACGCAACGCGATGCATCGGGGCATCGAAAAACCAGGACATATTCCAAGTCGGAATCGATTAACCCGAAACCAGGTCGCTTTTGACAGTCCCCGGGGTCCGTGGTCGTTTTCGTGGCGCAACAAACCGCCAGGGATTGCTTAGCCAGAACAGGTCCGACAGGCGCATCTTAATCAAATTCTTAGCTATCAGCCGAACGGGGGATATAATGGAATACTGTCAGCGTGCTGTGGAAACGGGAAGTCAATCGACATTACAGCGGCCGTATAAACGTCCCCGTCCCGCGATAAATGGTCCTGGAAACGGCAACTGGAATGACGTCGTCGTCGGTCGACGCGACGTCTGCTGAAACGCCGCCGCCCGAGTTTACCTCCGACAGTTGTGACAAACGAAACAGCCAAATATTCAATTTGCGCCTGCGACGAATCCGGGGAGAATAGTTAACGCCGGGACAGGCCCCGACAGACTTATCGGTACGTGGACAACGTCTGACGCAGGGTATTAACGTGCTCGGAGCCGTGCTGCTGAACGGATTCGAACCCGTTCGCCGCGCGATCGGATCCCCAACGTTTTATCTCCCCGTCTGTCAATTAGCCGTTTCCGGTACCCCGGCTAATTGTTCCCATCCCGAACGTATCGACCGACACCGGCGAACGTTTTCAGAGTATCGCGGATACCTGTTTCTCCGTTATCATACGCCGGCGAGTGGCGTTTCCTTTATTTCCCGGCGACCGTTTGCCGAGGCTAGCCGAGCGACAGCGGGGATAGGGGATGGAGGATCGGAATGGTTCTCGTGGGAATGATGTATGTTAATAACTGGATTATGTGTGAATGTGGATTCTTGTGGAATCATTAGGAAAGAATGATTTTAAGAAGCATTGGTTAACTAAGGTTTTAGTGTCTTTGGCGTCAGTGGGTTGAAGATGGAATGAATGGTTGGAATCACCGAAGATTCTGTTTTCAGATTTTTGGGGATTCGAGGGTTTGGAAGAATTATTGGTTAGATAAGGTGTGTTTGATGTTGGTGCGTTGAACATAGAACGATAGCTTGGAATTCTTGAAGCTTCTGTGTTAGATTTCTAGGGATCTTTGATTCTAATCGAATTTGAGTTTATTGTATTTATGATGTAAGAGGGTAAGTCTTATCTCTATATTTATTATCTTTATGTTTATTAATAGAATAGTAATTGATAGAATGATTATATTACGATAATTTGGATATATCAAAGTTATTTATTTCTTCTGATCACTTTTATTAATATCCAAGGTCAAGTTCTACCAGGAAAATACAGAACGAACACCGAGAAGTCGGGTGATCGAGCAGTTTTTCCGCCGGATATTCATAGAACGAAATTCACTTACCTTGATCCCAGGAGGCCATCATCGAAAGTTATCGCGGAGAAAGGAGGGGATAATTAATGAAGGATGAGACGCGGTCTCAGGACGAAGCTCGAACTTCGTGAGTATCGGCCGACCCAATTTCGTCCGGACAATTTGTCAATGTACTCTGATTTTTCGATGACGCTTGACCGATCCCTCGTCCCCGCGGGCTTCGTCCTTGGTTAGTATAAACACAGGATCATCTGTTTCTTCTAATAATCATTTAAATGTCTCGCGAATCCGCCTAGAATAAATTATTTATATAATACATTACTTTTCGTTACGATATTAGAGTGGAACGTTTGAAAATTTGGAAAAGTCTGAATGACAGTACAATTATTTGAAGAAACATTGTAGACTAATCCTTGTACGCAGTTTAAGAATGAATAATACAAACAATGCGTATAAATAACATATATAAAAATTGTACAATAATATGCAGTATAAATCATCGATATTAAACTAACGAATTCACGTGTTACAAATGACAATCAATGGTGCAACATTCAAACAGAAACAGCGTACAAGGATCGTACAACAGAAAGAAGAAAACGAACACCACCGTTGTACAATATAACGTTGCGTTTATTATTATCGTTACTCGTTAACCACAATCGTTAAACGTTCACTTTCGTATGATACAACGTTAGTCTCTATACACACTCTGCTCGGTTTTCTCCCTAGATGTACTCTTACAATCTGCTTACGGCTAATCGGCAGTAGTTCCTTTACTGTTTCTGTTAGTGTTTTCTTTGTTTTCTTGTGTTTATATACAAAAGCGCTGGATTATTCGTCCGTCGGCTAAGCTACAAACAATCCCAATATTTTTTCGCGATCGGTTGGTCTAGCGGACACCAGTGTTTATTTTCCGGTTCTTTTTTCTTTATTTATTCATCTCCCCCACGTCGTCGACTCTTTTCTTCATCCCCTAAACACTCGGGCTGTTTCCCATCGAATCACTCTGTCCTTCTGGGAACCGTTCGTGGGAATCGATCGTCTTTTCTCTTTCTCTTTCCATTCAATAACCATCGACGCCCTCATTTCTCCCTTCTTCATTTCTCTTTTCAGTTCCCTTCTGTATTTTCGTTTTCTTTTCGCTTGAATTTCGATCGTTCGGCTTCACTGTCACAGGTCATCGTTCGTCGTTTTCATATTTTTCAGCGTTTTCCTTTACGTATATTGGCTACAAAATAATTGACAAAAATCTGTCAAGTAATTCGACAATTTTTTTCCCCCTATCCTCCCCTCGTCTCTGACACCATTGTTTTGCCAAGGAGCGCTAGGGGCGGATTCTTGATACTTGAGGAAGCGAAACGAGCGCTGCCCGGGCACGCGCTTGTTTTTCTTTTCGCGCGCGATTCAGAGAGCTAATTATTCTAATGCAGACGGTGGAAATGAGACACGGTGCTTTCTTTGATGAATTCTTTGCGAGAGCTGCTGGCCTGGACAATTGCGAAAATATAATTTGTTTTCGATCCTTAATAATATCGTAGAATATTTTCCATTAACATTAAGTAGTTGTGTTCGTGTTTTGCATTCGACATTGAATACCGAAGTAACGTGTTCTAAAGATGAACAGCTTTCTCGTGAACAACGATACTTTATAATTTCAGTGAAATTTCGTGAACCTTGAATCGTGTCGGTCTGTTTAATGGATGTTGTCCCACTTCCTTAGTAGTTTAGTTCAAAATTGAATATTTCAGAAGTGGAACGCTGAAGTTCGTCGATTCGTTTAATGTGTAATCGTTGACTGCCACCGGATTAGTTGACAATTAACTTGTCCAATTAATTTGGCATTTCGTTCATGGTACTCCGGAATTTTCAAGCTTCTAGCATGTCAGGTAGCAGTCAACGTATTGCTGAAAACTTAATCGCACTTACAACTTAGCAACCTCACTTTATAATTTATGTTTGAATTTATATTTAACCCTTTGAAGCTTCTCTGTCCAAATGTCGAGAATAGGATTCTCATTGGAGGTTCACGCTGGTTGAATATGAACTTCAGAAAACATTATGGAAATTGAATACGCGTACGAATGTTTGCGAAAAGCTTGGCGGATAAACAGTACCGAAAATGGAAAAAAATTCTTTGCTACGCCTTCGGGCTATGAGAACAGCGTACGGTGAACTCGGTGCATAAAACAAGAGAAGATAGGATTATCGAAAAGAACGCGAGTCGAGGTTAATTACTATATTATAATACTGGCAACTTTCTTCTATAAAAAAAAGCGAAGATCACAGAGCGTTCATTAGTGAACACCAGATTTTCCGAAACATCGAGAAAACCGAAGACAATAGAGAGATTCTTAATAGAGAAAAATTCTGTTCTCGAGAAGAACGGTATCACGTAAGCATTACTAAAAAGAGAATGAAATAAATTTTTATCGTACACTGAGTGGGAAATTCCCTTTTTTTTTGATGAATTTCACTAGCTTTCGAGTTTGTTAATTTGTAAAGCAGTATTCTTCCGTAGCGACGCATTCATTTTCAATTTTAAATTACCGCCCTTTCAAAGAATTTACGGTGGCACGGTATACACAAGATAATTAAAAAGCGAACATGAATCTTCATGCGCATACATTTTCGGGTAACCGTATACCCATCAGCGAAACATGATTCAGTGCGTCTAAAACTTTCATTTATACATTTACACGGGGGTTTTATTCGGTGCTTAACCCTTTATACCCCGGATCATGATTCTTACTTTTCATTACTGTCTTCGTTCCAGATATTTTAGGGTTGTTTAACTCTCGAGTACTGTTCTCGCCGATTCAACTTAAAATCCACATTCAACACCCAGCATTTTATTATCCCAAAGAAGTTCTCCAAATGAATTTAAATTAAAATTCAATAAGAAACAGAAGCACAAACTGCATAACCCATTATATGAGTATAATACGCGAAAGAAACAAGAGGTATATTGAATATAAATACGATTAAATAAATGAAATTACCACGTTACGATTGCATGCAGTGTTTCAAACTAATTAAATTCGAAAGAAGAACCGAAGTGATATCGTAATATCGTTCGTAGGAATATTCCAACCATACATGTTATTTTAAAATGTCACGCGTAAAAAGGGTCGAAACGAGATTTCCCTTGGAAATTCTGCATGTCAAAGGGTTAAATATAAGATTGCCACCTTGAACGTTCCCAAAGATCCTACTGGAAATTGCGCTGAACGGTAGGTTTGCTGCAACTTCATCCACGGATCGCGGCTAGGACCGTCGGAACGACGGGAACGATTTCCTAAACGCATTCTCGCGGCAAATACAAATTCCCGTCGCTCGGGAACACACTTATCATCCCGGTGACAATCGGTTCGTCGCGTCGCGTACCCCGCCATCTCGTGAATCTTCCGCCGCCATCTTGGCGCCGCGCGGGATCAACCGTAAATCGGCGTCATCTCGAAACACGCGACAAGTGTATCGGTCCTTTATTAATTCTCAACGGAAATGTTCCTCGTTTTCATTTCTTTATTTTATTATCTCGTGTATCGTAGTTTACGCCGCATCGAATCAAACGTAAACTCGTGTCAAGGTGGAACGCATAAAGCTGTCGATTCTTTGTCTTCTAAATAAGTTCACCGGTAATTTTCAGTAGAAACTTCTTCATTTCTCCTTTCTTCATTTTTATCATTGTATATCATATTATAGAACACTTAAGATCAAACGTAAATTGACGTTACGTTAGAACACATAAAGCTGTTAATTCTCTGTCTTCTAAATGAATTCACTGGTAGTTTTCGATAGAAACTGTTTCATTTCTTTTCTCGTCTTATTGTTGTACACGGCGTAACGTTAAAACACATAAAGCGGATTCCTCGTGTTCTAAATTAGTTCACCAGTGATTCTCAACAGCATCCTTATCATTTCTTCCTGTTTTCATTATTGTATATCATATTGTATACATGAGATCAAACGAAAATTGGCGTCACATGGGAGCACACGAAAGCTCGATCCTCTGTGTCCTAAATAAGTCATTGACGATGGTCGACAGTTTTTCTCATTGTTTCTCTTTTTTCCATTGAATTACTTCCTTCGTTGATTCCTTTGCCCCGCGAAATTGTCCTCTGATCACCGGAGAGCAAGGGGAAACGACCTGGTCTCTAGTTTACGTTATGTAAAGCGGCTGCCATTGGACGAATCGAGTTCCCTGAACCGTATGTGCACGCGCGCGACCCTCCGCACGCTTTTAAGCCGGTTTCGTTCGTTCAGTTCGCGATCCTCGGCCGTTTCGTCGAGTTCTGATTTCGTCTCGGCGGCAGACGCGACCCCGTCGCCCGTTGCGTTTTCAGGAGGAGAGAGAAACAAACGAGGGAAACGAAAACGTGCGCGATCGGCGGGCCGCGGCCGGTTACCTCCGTTCAGACGATGTTCTGCGAGAGGGTGCCATCGTACTGCCACGTGTTGGCTGGAAAGAAAAAGTCATCTTTTCAAATTCTCATCGACACGATCCCTTCGCAAAGTGGCCAGTTGTTCAGGGGACGACTGAGCATGGATAATGGCATGGGTTACCTTTATAATGCATGTCCTGCACCATCGTCGGACACTTCGCGTTCGGCCGCTGCGGGGAACAAAGGAAAAGAGAATCAGATTGATTGTTGATTAATCAATGTTAATTGTTTGGTGAAATAGTCGATTGATAGACACGTTCGATCAATTTACTGTGATCAACCCTCTACAAATCTAGAGTTTTAAGTCATCTTGGATCATTCGTAAAGACTAAGGTTGGCTTAATTATTATAATTAAATGATAAGTAATAAATACTTGATTTTATTCTAAATCGCGAGTTTAACCTTGAATATTAGGTATCTCGTTTGTTCGTTTTACTTCATTGTAGAACCGTTTGTAAAATAAAATCCGGTTTTGGTAAATTTCGATAAATTCTGGTGAATTAGTAAATCCCAAAGAATAGAAAAATATATTGGAATGTTAAAAGGGTTTTCAAAATTATTTTCTATTGATACATGCATTTGCCATTTTCATATGTCTAACTATTGTTCGAAAGGTAACAGGTTCTAGGATTAATGAAAAATTTCATAGGTCATTAGAAATTCTCCTTAAATTTCGGATTCCGTGTAACCCGTAATTTTCGCGAGAAGGGTTAACTTTATAGTCGGTTGCAGCTCACTACGTCCCGCTTCCTGATATTTCTGTTTGTCCATGAATCTGCAGCAGGGAAAAAACAACCCCCTTAAACAACCCTATACGCGCCGGGTCACGCAACTGGAACGAACACTTTGTACCGTGTGCTGAAGGCGGAGAGAAAAGTTGAACTGCGAAACAAAGTTTATCATCCCGCGATCTCGCTTTGTCGTGGATTCACTGATGCGCACACAATTGCAATGCACAATTGCACCTTTCGCTTAAAAGGGAATCCTGCAGATTTGTTTTCCCCCTTTTCCCAAGATAATCGGCTTTTCTGGGAAGATTGGAAACGCACTAGCTTCCTGGAGCGAAAATATTTTTTCAAAATGTACTTCCCTTATTACCTGTAACCGATAAATCGTTCTTCTACTAATATAATTTATTCTGATCTGAGTGTTTGAAAAATTCAAACGTTTGGCAATGTCACTTGTTTGAATCATTTAAAATTATTAAACAATTCCATCAAGAAATGACACAATAGAAAATAATTTTAATCTCAAGTTTGCAACGGAGCCTGGCAGCCGCCATTATTCTGTAAACACTGTTACTCCCGCTATATAAAAAAATAACAGGAAGGGAAACGTCCTCCGCGCTACGTTAATATTATACGGAGAAATATTTAAAGAAGGTTTTAATTTCCGCGAGTGAAGAATAAATTCAAGAAAATGTTGCACGCAGCGAGAATGTTTGAAATTTTAATTCTCATGTGTATGGTTTTAGCACACAGCAGCATAATACGACGTTGAATTCCAATGAAACATTCATTGTTCGCTTGTATGAACATTCGCAACGTTTAAGGGGAAAATGAAAATCGTTTGTAGAGAGTTGATTCTGAGCACATATTAAATTACAACTTCTGTATTCCAAGAATAAACAAAGTACGCAATTAATTTCCTCAGGCAATTCAACTATTATCCAAGTACAATGAAATTCTTGAATACTTGCGAAGTTGCATGTTATAATATAAACTCTCTATAACATTAACAACTGCGTAATCCTTTACTGTATTTAAATTCACATTCAAATTTAAATTGCTTGTCATTCGAATGTACCAGTGAAACAAGAAAGAATTGGAGATTATCGTTGGAAAAGATTAACTAATATTACTTCAAAAGTTACATTGTAATGATGTTATCTTTCAATATCACCAGTATTACAGATAACTGATATTACCGATGACTATTTGCAAAAGGAAAATTGTAACTTAGATTCTGTTCCACAGAAGAATAATAAAGAAAAAGAGGAGATTTTTTCAGTTCCGTTGCTTGCAGCGTTTCCTACGGGAACTCTCCAATTGTTTACAATTTCGTTTCGCGGAGAAAGAAATTCGCGCGGTTAGAAATAGAGAGGGGATAATAGAACAGCAATTCACCTTGCGGAAATCGATGTTCGTCCGTATAGTCCTGTGATTAAGATCCTGCAGCGGCCTCGTATTGTTTCCCAAGGGTGCCTTCGGAGCGTTCTCCGAACCTTGCATTACTTTCCTTAGTGCGTAAAGCTAGAAATGGGATTAGGATTACGTTGTAACAATACCGTTTCCCTTGTTCAATATTTAACCATAAACTAGAGCTTGTTAAGTAATGGCGAGGGGTAAATAGAGGACTGGGTTACCGAGTAATTGGATTGTCGAATAATGTACTTAAGGCTTCAATGTTTGATATACCTCCGGCTCAGGAAGTCAAATTAAAAATTCATTTTCTATATGCGTGTGCGTCTATTAATCAATTTTTTTATTAAGCGATTCTGAAAAATCCATTACCCTCAGTGTCAATAGAATATAATTTTCTTCTTTCTCTCGCTACAGGCTCGCATTCAATGATTTATCTTTGAAGTTCACATTTAAACAAATTTATAAACTGAGCTTAAGCAAAGAAAATAATGGATTTTACACCTTTATATTCTGATATTCTGAATTCTAATTTTATATTTTGTATTCTAATATACTCTTTCGTACATCGAATCCATTACCAATTCAACAGTTAATCAAACGGTCTTCCATTGTCATTTTATTAAGACATCAAATATTCAGAGGCTATTACAGCTTCAATCAAAATAATATAAATACCATACTCTATGAATTATAAACACGCGTTATACGTTCGTTCCGTTAGAATTTTCAAACGCGTCGCGCGGTGTGTGCATTGTACTCGACGCACAAGGGTTGTTTCGCGTTGATGAACGCGCTAGGGGTCGGACAAATCGGCAGGGCGAAGCCGGGAAGCATAAAAAGTCAAGGGACGCGGGGAACAAATTGTTCAGGCCTGTAGAAAGGGGATTAACCACTTACTTCTCGCACGGTAATGTAGATGGGTTTGTTGAGGATCAACCATACTGCCGTTTCCCAACAGCCGGGGTGAGTCGCGCTACCCTCGTAGGTCATGTAGCCGTCCGTGTCCGGGAGCAGATTCTTCAAGGATAGATGGCGAACTGGCGCTGCGCTACCTGCGCAGGGGAAACGATTTCTTCCGTCAGAATGTTTATTTTCCGATATATATTACCATAAAACACGTTCGAAAATCGAACGAGTTGAGATTGAAGTCGAGGACACATGAAAATCTCATCGCTGCAGTAATTTGAGTAATAAATAATAATTCAATAACAAGGACGCAATTATTAACTAAATTATTACTCGACAGAATTATTACTCATTAAACTGTTAACTAAAAACATACATTATTTAAACTTCTGTTCTAGAGAAGGTAGCTTCTGAAAAATTTGTTACACTTCCGTTTCTGTATACTTATTTAACACTAGATTTACGGAACCAATTCGACGGATATTGCATTTCTCAATTATTTAGTATCAGTTTAAGTCGATTTTGATTCGTGCAATTACGCGAATACGCATTGCAATAGTTTGGTTTTGAAGTTATAATTTTCGCGATTTATATAGACGAACACGTAATTTTCTAGAAACAATAGGATAAAGTTTAGAATAAACGTCCGTAAATTTAGTGTTAATAATCACTCAATTTCCATTCAATGATAATCGTCATCCGGTAATCGACAACCGATGGAGCAGCAAAATATCAATTCTACTAACGAAACCTAAGGCTAGATCTTATTCTTCTACAAATTTTCAGAGTTACAAGAACTGTAAGGCAGCGCAAAGAGGACACGGCTAAACGAAGACATCACCGTTGATTCCACGATCGGCGATCGCAGCTAAGTCGGCCTGAGATTAAAGAGAAGACGTGTCGTCCGCGCTTCGGTGGTTATTTGCATGCTAAACGATGAAAATCCACAGTGTCCCTTACGCCGCTCGCTCGTCGCACGTTGCGTTGCATATTCAGCGGCGTTATTTCGAACGCGACGAAATTACTCGATATTCCGGGATACTCTTTGAACTTTCGAGTCGCGGAACAGGCAGCTCGGAAAAACGGGGGATGGAACCCGTCCGTGCCGGCCGTGGAAGTAGAGGTCGCGACGAAGGGGCCGCGGGGGGCAGGGGCGTTGAAAGGTGGGTGACGCGGGCTCTGATTGGATCTGTATAAATACACGTGACACGCACGCTGGAAACTTCAGACATTCCGTTATATTTATCCGAAATCTGGTTACCGTTGTGCTCGCGACACGTCGCGACACTCGGCGTCCTGGGACGAATACGGGGGCCAAACTTTTCGGCGCCGGGAAATTAACTATTCCGACCAGAATTTTGATGGAAATTCTCGAGGAACGGTTAGTTTCATCGAATCAATTGTTCCCGCGATTCGTTACGAGTTTCTCTTTAAAGCGATCCGTTGATTAGGTGAATTTCTGATTACTGAACTTTTTGTAAAGGTAGTGCAACGTTGATTTCAACGGACAGGAATGTTTATGCTGAGATGCTTGATAGTATTAAAATTTAACGACGAGTTCTATTAGTTATTGAATCAATTAAATATTATATTTGAAATATATTAAATTAATATATTAAGTTTCAATTGCTTCAGCCGACGAAGCAAGAGAATGGTTTCAAAATAAACTCTCCAATACGCCGCTCCAATTTTTCGAAAGATTCAAGGTCCAACGAAAATGTCATTCAATCCCTTCAAACTAATCGCAACTTCGTCTCCTCCTGTCAGGTTAATTTCAATTCCATCTCCCCTTCCAAACTAAATGAAATTTTATTCGATCCAAAGTGCCCATAACTCCCTGAAACGCGAGGACACGTGTCTAGCGAACTCCTTCGCCATTCACCATTCAGTCCACAGTCCATTCGCGCAACTAGGCCAATAATAGACCCCCCGAAAGCTGTTTCACGGCGGTTATTGCCCCCCCTCTGAATCAGTTAAGTCGACGGAATAATAACAGGCCGTGTTTACAGCCGTTCGACAAGCGCCGACGATTTGTTATTGGCCCGGGGCGCGACGCGACGCGGCCGATCGAGATTTATATTCCGACGCGACCTCGCGGAATTATGGCCCTACGCGCACGGCGCCGTTTCCTTCCCACGCGGGTTACGCGCGGCGGACACAAATCATCCATAGACGCGCGGCAGTTATGAACGACGTATTGGACACGTCCCACGGAGACGACGCTCGGAAAGAGTGTATCCGCCACGATATTCCAGGCAGCTCATGATTCCTAACGTCCCGCGAACCGTAATTTACCATTGAAACTGGGTTACCGCGTCCAGAAACGCTCCGGACAGGCTTTCCGAATGTTCGAATCTCTTTTCATTGACGTTTTTCGTGGTTACTGGAAGAGGATAGAGTTTTATGTCTGTTGTTGTTTGCGTTAGTGTTTGGCGAGAAGAATTGATGACTATAGTGTAGTATCTAGAATTCTTAGCATAGGTTAAGGTATTTTTAAGAAGAGTGGAAGGACAGGTTGTGAAACAGTCGAGGGAAAGTGGCCTGCAACGTCGCGGACCCAATATTGCAGGGCCAGCTTTCCAGGGGTGCATTTGAGTGTTTGTGACGAGTGCGAGTGAGAAGAATGCTTGTGGGGGAGAGAATGATTTTTGGGAGAGAATGCCTGTAAGAGAGTTGCGGGAGGAGTCGTGTGTTGGCCACCGTGGCATTGAGTTGTACTTTTTACGTGTTTTCCGTGTTGTTTTCATATTTTATACTTTGACCATAGTTTTAGCTTTATTTTATTAGATTCATATATTTATTCTTAACTCTCGATTACTGAAGATCCACCCTTTCATTATTTACACTATAGTGAAACTGTAATAGAATTGTTATTTCGGTTTAATTTGGGAAAGGAATTTAGAGTAGTAAGTTTCTTTTCAGAGTCTTCTTTACATGGTTTGATGTCAGAAAATGAAGAGCTGGTGAAGGTTGTACAGGTGTCACGAAACGGACGAGGAATTAGAATTGAGAACTGGAACTCCGAGAATGTGACGGATCGATAAGTTGTTACGATGAAAATTTCATGCAGATGCTTCGACGAATCTGTCCTGTTTCGAGATTGAGAATAAGCAAGGAGGATAGGTTACAATTATTCACCGATGATTCGACGAGTCAGAATAATATATAAACCAGCGCGGGTTAATTTAGTTTAGAAACTTAGCGCCCCTCTCGTGTGCATCTGCTATTAAATCACTTCGCATAATTCAATAGATATTTAAGAGAACTTCACAGAAGATTATACAAGGCATATCAATACTAGAAATATTCAAAATGATCCATTTACTTTGATTCTTACCGTCATAAATACTGAAGAAGTTGATCAAGTAATATCCAAGCTGACATACAACTAAAATCATGACACGTTGTTACATTCTTAGTACGATAAACCAAAAACTATAATAATTCTATTCTGAAAGTATGAAATCTTGATCGAACTCTCAAAGAACCAACCGAATAATAAAAAAGGAACAATCCTTTCGTTGTCCACAGATTTCAAACTAACAGTCAACGTGTTAAAGTCTCAAATATTAATCGAATCTTAACAGAATCATCGGAGAAGCACAACAAAATCTCCATAATCACGATAATTAAGCGTCGGTAATTTAAGTGCCACGTATTCCCAGCATTAAACGAAGAAAAACTCTCCACCCCGGCGAGCGACGATTAAACCCGATCGAGGTAACAAAAATCAGCAGAAAACCGCGGCGGACTTATTTGGTTAGCCGGCATTAATCATCCCCTGTCGTCGGATTCTCGTCGGTCACGGGTGAAAGAGTGGAGCACCGGGACGGACGGACGATAAATAAAAATAAAGGGGACGAGGGTGTCGCGTACGAGCGGCGCGGAGCGGTCCGGGACGAAGGGAAAAGACGGGTAAAAAGGAAAGCGCGCGGACTCGCGGATAAAAGGTTGACGGGTCCTCCTACTTTCTGCCCTCTAAGTGGCTTGAATGCTGTCCTAAAAATGTTCAGCCCCCACCCACGGCGGCGCGGGTTCGCGACGGGAGACGAGAACAAGCTGGAAGGGTGAGGGACGGCGCATTTATCCCCTGTGTCAGGCCACCATTTGCTGGCACGCTCGCTTCTCCTTAATGTCACGGACTCGATACGAGAAATAGTCGGCTCGCGTCGCGACATCGCGACGGATACACCCACTTACGGGGAAGGAAGCTTTTTATGGCGCCCGTTGACGCTCGAGTGCCCATCTTTCGTTGATTTTTATTAAGCCTCGATTAATGACACGACGGAGCCGGCCGCCCTTTCAGCGTCCGATGAACCCGACGCTGATCATTCGAATCGGTTTCGCTTGAGACGTTGGAGGAACGATGAAAGAGCCTTTCGCGAGATTATGGAATTTTCTTGGCGGTAGCGATGGTAAATGTACTTTATTCTTTCTCGGAAGCGTGTAGAAAATGTGACGGAGGTGGTTGATGTTAGTGGATTATATACGGTGAGCGTTTATAGTAGGAGTATGTATAGGCTTTAGTCATTGTTAATTGGAATGGTATTATGGATTAAGTAGATACGATGGCATAGATGTTTCACGTAAGGTGACCTCCTATTTTTGCTATTTAAAATCGTTATATTCTTCTTAAAATAATTGATGTTATCAAATATACTATAATAGTATTCAATCAGAATCGATAACTAAGCAACTCCCTTCTTCGCTGGAAAATTAAGCAACATCCCTCGCGATCTTCGTCTTTACACAAATTCCAAGACAAGCGACGAATAGGAATATCAAAGGACCCTTCAAAAATTCAAACTACGTCACGGAATATTCGAGAATGTTCCGAGTAACATCTAATTCTGTACTAAGTACACAGAAATCCCATCGAAATATTCGCGATCCGCGTCTAGCCGGCGTAGAAATCCGCGTCCCCAATACTTTCACTGCTGGTTGCGTCTCATCCGGGCCGAGTCACCTATTCCCCGCCCTTCGGCAAACATCCCCCGCCCGTCGCCGCTCTCCGCAAATACGAAAAGCTCGACGAGTGGAAGCGCCGTCATATTTTATTTGTATTGATAGCTGCTGCCGAGTTTCCATCAAACAACGGGGAAGAAAGGGCACTGTATGGACGCAGGAGAAAGCGGAAGAGGAACGG